TTTCATGCAAGCAAGAATATTGTAATATTCTTAGGAAACTTTTAATCTTGAATTGAGCGCGAGTAATATTTGCATCGATATAAATTCAATTAAATCAAGCCTGCAAATCTTCTAAGAAGATTATAATATTCTTACTTACATATAAGAATATCTATTCTTGATTTAGGATTAATTTTTTTTTCTTCGAGCGAACTGATTCGCGCATACAAGGAATCGCGATTAACGCGATCCAGGATATCCGGTGCGTTTGACGGCATCGTTCGGAGATCATCAGCTCGTCGAGGAGGGTCAACGCACCCCGTATTTTCTCAAGTTACTTTGGAAAAAATCTCCGCGAGGAAATTCAAGATCAACATTAAACAGAGGCGATTTATCAGAGCGAGAAGCGAAGCGCGGCGTGAGGCAGCAACTGTGACCTATTACAAAAAGAAAAAAATACAAAAGAAAAAGGAGGAACCTCGCGAGAAAGATGAGATTTCCCGATCTTTTCCACTTTATTATCAGGGAAAGGAGCGGCTAGTAGTAGTCGCGATTAATTCATTCGCGTGCGGAGGAAGAGAGAGAAATCCCTTTTATCTTTTTTCCCACAAACTTGAATCCCTGCCTCATGACAATAATAACAATAATATAATGATAATATTTTCTTCATTAGACGCTAATGATTATATACAGAAGTATACTAAAAAGGCTTGATGCTGTGCTGAGATCAATAGAAGACGCAGTATCAGTTGTACAACTGGTTTTACTATTGCCTAAATGTATGAATAATCAATAAGTGACGACACAACGCGTGAGCAAAAATTTGTGAAATACTTGACATTTGGAAAAGTCACGTGATGAATTATCGATGACGCAGAGAACGATACGGCAAAATCGCGTTCTGTTGGCATCTTCTTCTTTAATTTCGTCGGGCATAATTGACCACATTGGCCAACGTTCTCTCTCCCTCAAGGCAGAGATACCGTTTTAACTTTTAGAGAGACGTACACGTGCGGTTCTCCGCGACTCTTCGTTTTCTCTTGGATTTCCGGCTGCGCGACGGTACTTCACCGCGATCGTATCCCGACGTGAACGGAAGCGGCCGGAGGAGACCGACCCTCCGACAGAGCACCGGGTATATAACGCATACCTGGTCGCAGTGGCGTCGCTTCGCGGCGGCGGTGTTACTCCTGGGGTCACGTCACGCATCGTCCGGGTCGCCTGCCGCCGCCGCGCGGTGCGCGCCGGCGAGCGCGCTCTTCTCGCACGGGGGGACTCGTGGAGGGCACGCGACGTATGTACGCTGCACCCGCGAGAGATGACAGAAAGAGCAACTCCACGAAGGTAGTGGTGGCCGTCCACGGCCGCGAGCGCGGCAACACTGACCTGCCACCACCGCGAGAGAGAGGAGAGAGGACCGGATAACAGAACCTCTCTCCGGGTTCCTCCGGCTGCGTTGCTCCCTACTCTTCTCGTGCTTCTCTTCCTCTTCGCTGTTTTCGCCTCTCTTTCTCCCTCGCGTTCTTCTTCCTCCTGTCCCTCCCGCCCTTTTCCTCTGTCCGCTTGCTCTTACCTTTCTCGAGAGGTAAGAGCGACGAGGGGCGACCTCACGTGTGTCCCAGATGGGACAGAAGTCAACGAAGAGACGAGTGGGGACAAGCCTCGATTATCTTTAGAATGGCATAGGCGGGCGGAAATAATTGCGAGTTATTTTCAGTCTTCGATAGAAAGCGCGATCAAGTGGAATTCCTCGACGAGTATCCCTTTTTTCGCCGTTATGCCCGCGAAGAAGAACGTGAGGACTTCGATTTGCGTGAGGCATCGTCGGGTCATAAAGATATTTTATTCACGAGAGGAGGAGAGGGACGCATAAAATTCTCGGAAGAGAGAAGACCAGGAGTCCCTTCGAGAAATTTCATTTGCGATAGCTCTTGTTGTGAGAGGTTGAAAATTACGGATCTTTTTGCCCGCGCGTCGCGGCAGGACCGGAAATCCGTAGAAAGGGGATTAGGAGAGAAAGAGAGTGTCTCGTCGCGATTTCGCCGAGACAAACACCGACGGAAGGAGGACGTTTCTCTCCTTTACTTTTTAATCGAACTCTTCAAATTTCCTTTTTTCCTGTGCACATCGGCGAAGAGAGGCAGACCTCTTCGATCGCTTGCGGCGGGGGAATTCGAGTAGCTGCGACAGAAGGAGGGCACACCACGGTTCTTTTTACTTTTAATTGTACCGTTTAAGTTTCTTCCTCGCCGCGAGTCCATAAAGAGAAGCAGCAGAGAACTTCTCCCTCTGGCCAGCCGGTCACGGGAAGACGGGTCATCGACAGAAAGAGGGCAGGCTTTTTAATTGTTACCCTTGAAGTTCCGTCTTCATTTTGATTCCATAAACAGAAGTCGACCAGACGGAGAGAGAAGTTCTTCTCTCTTCCACCAAGATCGCCAATAGGGGAAAGGGGGAATGACAAAAAGTGTTCCCTCCGGACTTCTCGATATTCTTCCTCGCTTCAAGTCCGCAGGAAGACTCGAGGGAAGAAGAGATCTCACCGCCGGAAAGATGGGAAAAAATTGGCGTGCTTCTCTCTCATAAGTTCCTCTGCGTCCTCTCTAACTTTCTTCATTATTTTGAGCGAAGAAATCCCCGCGTATCGTCGTAACGCGTAAATCTGCTTTCAAGCGGTTTCCAGCGCGCCAGTTACGATGATAAAAAGAAGAAAAAGTACTCTCGGTATATAACGGGGGGAACGCGACCGACGGGACAACAGATGACCGACGACGAGGAAGTATCTGACGAGGAACACCGCTCGCGTCGTCGGTGAAGCCTGAGAAGAGTGGAATGCCTGCGTGCGGATCATTGACTCTCGCCCTAATCCTCTTTTCCTCCTTTTCCGCAACGACGTGCTACGATACAGGGACGGACTCATATAGGAATATATTGGATCGATGCGAAAGTTTGTCCCGTTTTTTCTTTTTTAATCAGCACTTCGTTCCCGGAAATCCCAGAATTCCCACGAGCACGAAATCGTACAGTTATCGAAGAGATGATGGATTCTCGGACAAAACGGCATATATTTACAATAGATCGATTGTACTTTATATTTTAAAATAAATGAATGTTACATACACGTTTTGACGAAAACAAAAAGACATTGTCAAAAACAGAATTTTCGCATCGACCTAATAAATGAAACTTAACCTCGGCTTCAAGCAAACGGGACTCGACTTCAACTGCGGATTCGTGATAATTAAAACGCCCCAAGATACGCGCAAATTATTCGCGACTATAATTGCACTCGGTGTATTTATAATCATAATGCACGTATGTGCAATGTACATACATATATTTAATATATACCTTACACTATGTAATATTACTTTGTGTATTCGGGATATTATCATTCTCCTTCGATATATTTTTCAATCTTCTAAAGTGAAACAAAACCGCCCAACCGGGACACGCAAAGAACTCGTTTCAATAACGCCACGGATTTTTAATATTAACAACAACGTGAAACGTTTTCTTGAGTTTTTCACCGAGCAATTTTCGTAATTACTGGCCGAATTGGTAACTCGTTAAAGTCAAAAATGATAACACACCGCCAGCTTCACGTGTGCCGCGTCGCTGGCGCTGTAGTTATCGTATAAATCTGCGGCCTGTATTCAGAACAAAGTACGTACAACAATGTTAGCGCGCTAATAAGTCAACTCAGTAGTAGAATACTGAATAGAAATTTTGCTATAAACATGATGATTATCGATTTTTCCTGACAGAGTCCTGTTATCATCGCGTTTATAACACAAGCGATACTGCGGGAGAATATACACATATCTCTTGATTTATTAGCCCACTAACATCATCGTACGTACGTCCTAAATATTGGCCTAAATATATACCGTAATATCTAACAATACTCGTGTTTTATCGTGTGCGCTGCGAGTGTGTCGCACATCGCAAGATTTGACCAAGAGTTTTCGCGCGATCAGCACACGCGTTGGTGTCCATATAACGGACGGACGGACGATCGATCAATAATGCCGCGAGTTCTAAGTTCTGAGGATAGAGCGAGCACTATGACGCGAACTCTTCGTGGGGGTCGCTCGGGGATATTTTCGTACCCGCTGCACACTCGCCGTGTGAAATAATAACTGACACATGCAGCAATTCGCATATGGAAAACTGCTCGCGTGGTCACAGAAAATGTTATTCCACTTCCGGATGCATTTTCATCAGGCGGACGCATTAAACGTGAGCGGACCGCGTGTGTTTCCCTCTCGGCGCGCCGAGAGAGCCGGTGAATTTTGCATTAACCGACGCACAGCCAGGCAAACATACTTCCGTCGCAATTTTAAGTTACACACACAGAATTTACATATTGCTTCGGCTACATAGCAATCACGCCATGAAGAATCTTAAATTATTGCAACTTCCCCCCCCCCCCC